TAGCTTTGGCTACTTCTCCCATGTTTCCATTTTCCATCTCCTAGAATAGATAGACTGAGATTACAGACATTGTGCTACTGCATCTGGTTTTTATGTGGGTTCTGGGGCTTGGTCCCCTGGTTGTCATGATTGTATGATTTACCCACTGAGCCATCCTCCAGCCCTGAAATAACTTTTCACAAACACTTAGCAACTGCCTCCAGTAAAAATACACTGTATGACACTCACACTCACATTTTGCTCTTCAAAGCTTGCCTTCCTTCCTTCTGTTTTTTATTTTTTTTAAATCAGCATACAGAGTAATGAGTTTCATTATGGCATTTTTTCATACCCATTTTGTTTTCCTTGATCCATCTCTTCTAGTCCTCTTCCCATCCTCTGTTCCCCCTCTGGCTGGGTCCCTCCCTTCCTCCACTGGTCCCCTCCTGCTTTCACATAACATGTGTTCTATCACACACACACACATCCACGCCCCCGCCCCCACACACATCTTAAGGTTTCTTTCTCCTCTTGTGCTCATTGTCTAACTTCAAGAAACTATACATTTTCCCCCAAATTTAGTGATATTATATGCTTCCGAGTAGGAAGAGAAATTGGTCCTAAGTCCAGCACTCTTCCTCCGGCGCTCTAGGAGGTGTTAAGTGTCTGGGGCCAGGCAGGTGGGTCAGACTGACAGCCTGATGCCCACTTTGTGCTTTTGCTTTTTGCTTGGAATCTGGGTCTTGATGGCTGTAATCACCTTGGCATTTGGAGAGCCAGGGAAGGCTAACATAGGCCCAGCTGTACTGCATCTGCCCATCAGCCTCTTACGATTAACTACAGATCATTAAGCTGTCCAAGAGGAGATCAGCTCCCTCAATTTACATCTCCAAAGGGCTGCTGAGTGGAATTTTAAATCATGGTTCTAAATAGGCGTGTTCTTCTCAAGTGCCCAGGCTCCACTCCTCTGAAATTTTAAGTATGCAGTGCATGAACTCGTAACATGTAGATTTTTAGGGAAACTGTCTGATAGAGCAGGAAATCACATTTGTAGCAGCAAAAAAAAAAAAAATAATAACATCAACCAATAAAGGGGATACGCCAAAGGGATGAGTTTTAAAAGCTTGGTGTAGCTAGAAGTAATGAGAAAGGGCCATCATCTTCATTTTACAACCACAGAGTGACAAAGTGGATATCTGTTACTAAGATACCTGGGAGCTAGAAGAAAGAGCTCAGTTGGGACAGGGATCTTAAGGGTGTGTGGCACCTGTCCCCCTTCACCCCTCAATCACAAACCAATGTTCTCCTTTGTATTTGGCAGAGATTATGGAACCCAGAGCAGACGTTCAGAGGAAAGTAGTGCCCAGTCTCTTATTGCCAGGAGGGCTCAGAGAGGCCAGCTGTCCTGGTTGGAAAAGCACAAATACCTCAAATTGTGCCCCTTAGAGAATGTGCTCTGAAGCTCCGATCGGCAGACTGGCAAATTGCAGCTAAGTAAGAGATCTGATGCACCTGCCCATGAGAGACGCATTCTCATCTGCTCTTTAGTGAGAAAGAACAGGGATCTGTAATTGAGGAGTAATTACAAAGGATAATTGATTGTTGTAAAAACGCCACACATTTAAGGAAGCCCACATGTCCTAACAGAGAGCTTAAAGATGGAGAACAAAGGTGATATGAGGCATGAAAAAAGAAAATTAGGCACCAAGCACTATTTATATTTCCAGGAAAGGGAGCAGAGGCATATAGCTAAGTGGTATTCACAAATAGTAAGGCATTGATGGGAGGAAGGAAATTGAGGGTCATTTAATAAGGAAGAAGCAGCAGAGACAAGTTGAACGATATGCCTTTCTATGTATGAGAAACATATGACACTCATTTTTAATCCTTGGTCTCTTGT